TCCTGCCATTCACAGCCTTCCTCTTTCTTGCTGTGTTGCACAATTTGCAGTTTGTGAATAGCTTTCGTACTTAGGGTCCGCATTCCACACTCATATGTTAGCAATGTGAGAAGGTACTGATCGAAAACGTAACGTTCAACAGATAGGCCATTTCCCATATAAGACATTTTCGATTTTCTGAAAGCGTTCCCTGTCATTTTTACTCTATTTTTGATTTTGTGAAAATGAACTATCCCAGAGGAACAAAATTTTGCAATTTTTAGACCCTGAATTCGTTGACTTCAACAGGAATACGCACGGTGACGCAATTATTAAGAATGATCTGAGTCCGTCAGCATGAATTCTTCTTTTGAGTTATTGTCACCTTGAGGTAATTGAAATATTGTTTACAAAGTACAAGTGGCTTAAGTAGTGCCCATTTATGTTCAGCTTCTGATTTTCCCAACTGAGTGTCTTGAATGCCTCTTCTAGGCCTACGATGAGTTACGTCGCTGATATTGTGTCTTCATGTTGGAGGCCCTTTTCGAATTTTCTTCTGCTTTAGTGCAGTGGTACACCAGCAGTTACATTCCCGTAAATTATGGTGAGCAGGTCTCTGCATTTTTTCCAATTCTCTGGCTGTTCAAAATCCAGTACAAAACAGATGTAAACCGAGTCGAAGACATACTCAAAATCGACGAACCTGATGCAGGGAAGAGGCTGATATTCATTGTTTGCCTGAATTACATGTTGTACCATCTGAAGATGATATATCGTAGTAAATTCAATTCTGAATTACGCTTGCTCCTTTTCGCTGTGTAGCGTTCAGTTTTTCTTCAGATCCGTTCTTCAGCACCTTCGCGAAGACCTTGCAAATGATATGCAGCAAACTGATCAGCTACACTTTTCAATTCTTCTCTGTCTCCCTTCTAATCTCCTCAACGGAAACGGATAAACTCATTATTTTATGAATTATCAGTTAAACCACTGCTTGGATTACTGTTAACTTGAATAGTACAACGGGTATTTTGGAAAATCTGAAACTAAGCAGCATATACTCTTAGGAGTAGAAAACGTGGATCGCTTCTCGCTGAGGCTCAGAAAAGTTGGATACTTTTCAGACTACGATTTCGAGATGGACCCGTCAACATTGAATGAGTACGCAGCAGCTGCTGGACTGTTCCTCTATAGTATGCTGCATGTGACGATTCGGTTAAATGACAATGACGGGCGGATTATTCTGGAGCAGCCACTTTCCGAGCTGTTCTATAATCCCGATATGCTTTTCGAATCACGACGAGTCGATGGTGTAATAAGGCAATGAAGACAGATCACTTGTAAAACCGCATAAGTGAACATGTTTTCAGGTACATGCTGGATACGCCGTCCTCCAGACCTGGCCTGCATTTATCCAAACAATTCACTCAACGATTGCTACCGACTTCGGACGGCATTGGCTTTAATTTGGCAGCGATTCTCCTCCAACGAGGTCGCGAACATGGCCTGCCATCGTACACGAAAGTCAGAAAGCTGTGTGGCTATGATCCGGTGACAACCTTTGAAGATCTGCGGAGTATAGTTCAAACCCCTGACATAATTGCGCTTCTGCGCAAACTCTACAAGTTGAATAGATAATTATTAATATATGCAAATGCTAATTGACAATGAATAGGGAAGTGGAAGATGTAGATTTATTTGTGCTGGGATTGGCAGAAAAGCCTATGAATGGAGCTCTCATTGGACCAACCTTTGCTTGTATAATTGGACGACAATTTGAAAAGGTAAATTTTTAAATTTCAATGACGTCAATACCACGAATGGCAGGTGGCGAACTTTTACGGAGAATTCGGTCTCCCACCCTCCTTCTTTTTCAACCGAGCTTGGGACTGTTAACGGTGGAATTTTAAATTTGTGCGAGCTTTCTATAGTGAACCTTGATTAGTTGTCATTCGCCGTTTTAATACTTGACAGAAAAGGATTTGTAGAATACTCATATTTAATCTTTACTAAGGTGCTCTTACCGAATGTCTGTATCTGATTAGTTCTTGAAGTATTTCCAACGATTTAAAGCAGTTTTTAAAGAACGTAGACAATTCTTTACAAAGATTATAGTTAAACAAAATATCTGATAAATGAATATAGATACCTAATTGCAATGGAGAAAATGTACTGTAAAGTAAGAAAAATCTATTGTTTACAAAATATACGTCCTTGAATCTGTTGTTACACTGTTAGCTTAATACCGTTTTATGTTTGTTTATATGTCTGAAAGCCCTTATTTCCGTCGCTATGCAGAGGATTGTGTATCGAAAAAGTTTTTCATGAATCTGACATTCCGGCGGGTTAACTCTCTTGCATGGATTCAAGGCTTGGACCTTACCAGGTATTAAATACAATTCATCTCCTTTGGTTCCTCGAAGTCTGACGCTTCTGCCTCCGCAACCCGAAATGGTGAACCGTAATCAAAACTGACTGATTGACTGACTGATTGACTGACAGATCGACCGATTGACCGACTAAACTACCCACTGACTTGTACTTGACACAAGGGCAAAACAAATGGTAGTGTTCATATTATACTTCCTGGCATTTTAGCCAGACTACATACGTGGTCTTCAAGACGAACAATGTTGGTTTCCATTTAAATGACCAATGTAGTTTAGCCGGAACGTTAACTGTAACAATAAAGATTATCATCTGTCTGTTTACCTGTGTTCTAGAGCCATTGATGCTGCAATTTACTGATGAAGACGGAAATGAAATGATTTTCAAGAATCATTTAAGCATGCGCAATTTAAAATAAAAGAAATATTCTATTATCGCAGCTAGTATTCCCTTCCTGCATCATTTATTTTCTTTGTGCCACTGGAATGCGAAGTTGCTTGCTGAGCTTCCCGGTAACAAGTTTATAATTTCTTACAGATCAGGAAGGCCGACCGTTTCTGGTATGAAAACTTTATGGCTCCATCAGCGTTTAGCGAAGCGCAGTTGGCAGAAATTCGGAAAACTACAATGGCTCAGATTATTTGTGATACCACGGACAACGTCAGTGTAGTGCAGCCCATGGTGTTTATGTTACCTGATAAGTTTTCGTATGTGACGTCTGAATTTTATCCTGATTAGTTGCGTAAATTCAGGAACAGCCCAGTCAGTTGCAAAACCACCGTTATACCGGAAATGGATCTCAGTCCATGGATAGAGAGTACGCATTTTTTCTCATGAACTCTTTGCAGCGCTTTTACTCTAACTAACAGGATTTTAGGGGAAACCGCATTTCGCCAACCAATAACTGAAGAAACGCTAAGGAAAGCGATTGAAATGGGCAAAGAGAGAATCAAAGATGTGTTTGAAAGACACCAGAACTTTGGAACAAGCTGTACCTTATGAAACAGTTTTGAAAATGTACCAAACATGATCCTTACACTTGAGCTTTAAGACCTCCAAAAACCCCAAACCAGTATATCATCAGCTTATTTTGGACACGGCGTACCGTTCATTTCTGACCAGGAAGTGCTGTTGCGCTCGAGAACGGCCACCGCAATGGCAGAGGCAGCAAAACTCATTATTCGAAGGTAGGTTTACGCTACGAGCAAACAGCGTATAAAAATCCTGAAACTGGTAAAAAATTTTTTTACTTGTCTGGGTGTATCTAAGTCAGATTTCATGAGACTGCTGCATCTGGAATCTGATGAAATCATGCCTACGAAATGAGTACCGTGAGGAAGATGTTTGAAAGCTAGTCTCTCCTTCAGTAGTCACCATCACGCCGCACAGTCACAAGACAAAACAAGTAATGTTCTCAGCTCGGAGGAATAACGAAATTATAGAAAATAGTAATGGCTTGAATGTTGACATCCAAATCATGAAGAATATCATTTTCACCCATTTTCTTATGTGATGGACGAATGAACATTCTATTCATTCGTTTATCTTCCTCAAAAATTGTTTAGAAGTGGCAAATGGCATGGCAAATAACATATTACGGATATTTGTTTGAGATTGAAGCAAATAATTGGATCCAGTCATTTAGACTATGTTGTTGTGAGAGTGTCCTTTACATTAACAAATCTGTTTCAATTCTATGAAGAGCTTGGCCAGTCCCGGTTATCCTCCTCGGCCAACCGTTTCGTAGTTCATTCCGAACAATAGCAAGTAAGGAACATAAAATCGACAATACTTGAGCTTTTCATAAGATCCATCACTAGTTATTATATCCCGTTCACACTTAGGACGCTGGGGATGAATTATTGACAGATGTTAAAATTAACGGTACAGTGTACGTAATACAGTGCACGCAACCTGCCCACTAAATACACCCAAACGGTTGATTGCTAACTTGGCTGAATTTAGCTTAGGTACTTTATTGTCGAAGTTGCTGGCATATTAATAGATTGTTTCTTGCAAAGATGGTTAGTAGAAGCGGTCAGTAACTAAGATTGTGAGGTTCAGAAATGAAACGACCGAGCGTGTGAGTGTACCGAGCGTTCTGCAAACATGACCACCTAATGGTTGGTCAGTATTGGTGGCATAATCGGAAATATCCGGCGCCCCATGAGTAAATATCAATACGACAAAGATTTTGAAGGTTCAGCATCTAATGTCATCAAAAATGATTTTCCATGCGAGCCAAGCCTCTTCTAAATGGTAATTAATGCAAATAATAATAGATGGTACAAAATATGGAAACACGTTTTAAAAGGCAGATCTGCTAACGACGAGGAATATGACCATTGATGCAGCAGTAAGCGTTGCCTAATCAATTTCAGATGCCATTTTTAAAGTTCATGCACCATAAATCTGGGTTATTGTGTACTTTAAGCTGTTCTAGCCTTTGAACACGATGGCACAACAACGGACAGTCATTCAAATTCGTGAGGATCGGATAGCCAATTCTGGTCAGCACCAGTTGTAGCTCTAAGGTTATGCGGAACAAACAATAGTATTACTGCGCAGCAGTATCGTGTGAACTGAGTGAATTGCAATTGATAGTTGTGCATCATAGGTTGGGCTTTTTTGTGGTAGACTTTGTTTTGTATGTAGTTCGGAATTGAAGGAAACCATGGTTAATGAGAAACGTGTCCCTAAGTAGTTTATTATGCAGCAGAAAACGGTGTCCATCGTGTTTCTCCCTGTCACGTCATTCCGTACTTGTATCGTTGTTCTCCTTTACCAGTGAGGTTTTGCGGTGAATGTTAATTAGAGTAGTTCTAAAACTTATCGTTTTTAGAGAGGACGTTGAAAACAACGAAGCAGTCCTAGACGAGCTGAACATGAATGTAATCCAGGAGCTGATTCCTGAAATCGATGTCGCAAGTTTCATAGGTACTGTTAAGGATCCTGACGTTCGACCGCAAGCATTTATTTTGCATGCAGGTAACGCACCTGGAAACACAAGGCAGTGCAACCCGAGACCTCTTCCATGTGACGCAACCTCACCTTACCGTACTTCGTCCGGATGGTGCAATAGGCTATCGAGTCCAGTAGCTGGCAGCACGTTTGTCTCCTTTCGAAGATTACTAAAGCCGGCCTACAGTGATGGTTGCGTTACCTGCTTCAAATTTCTTTGGCAAGTAAAATATTTGTGCAGGTTTTGGTGAACCAAGGATGTTCAGCAAAAGTGGTGCACTCCTCCCCAGTGCCAGACTTGTGGCCAACGAAATGCACACGAGCATGAACATCGAACACCCAAAGTACAGTCACGCGCTGATGATGTACGGACAGTTCATCGATCATGACATATCACATACTCCTCAGTCTACAGGTAGGACTCTGATCGGCAAGTAACGTCTGAAGGAAGCCTGAATATTCTAAGCTTCCGCTAGTTTAGAATTTGAAAATGGTTTGCAGGATGATACTGCTTATCGAATTTATTATGGACATTTTCTCCACCCATCTTCATGGAGAGATACAGCTTAACCCTTTGACTGTCATAGTATACATTGGTACAGTTAGGTAACAACTTCACTATCCAGGTTTTAGACTCGATGATTGAAGCTGCCTTATAATTTCGTTCCAGTGTGATCCTAGTTCCATACCAACGTCTTTATGTAGCTTTCACTAGTGGTGTACTCAGGAACAGCAGCGTGAGCGAAAGACATCTAAAAATTTGAATTTAAAAATACCTGTAGATAGAAATTTGTTCCTTCCAGATTGGTGTGTCACGTTAAGTAAAGTAGAGTTTATTACTATATCAGGTAAAAGCAATCTGATGTTTAGCTGGTCCAGTTGAATAAAGATGAGCATTACTAAAGGAATGTATAACAAATCAAAGCTGGAATAATGTTCGAGCCAAGTTCAACACGCTCCATGAACATGTAATATCGGTTGCTGAACGATTCAGGCTATTCCTGAAAGAATGAAATGATGTTAGACACATCGTTGTTGAAATGGCGTTGAACTGAGGTCTGCTTAAATGCTCGTTTGATCTATGAGCAAGGAAATGAATTGTGCAGTAATTCCGTGAAACTTAATATATAAAGTTGCATTTTAGTTATTAATCAATGTGAAAAACTGTTTAGTCTTTTTCTTCTTTTCCTTCATTGAAGTCGACCTTTCTCTTGCTGCTTCATCATTATCTTTTTTCCTTCTTCGTCGTATTATGCCTCTTCTACCACTTCTTCCTTCTCTTCCTCATCTTCTTCTCTGCTTGTTCCATTTAGCAAGGATTCACTTTACGAGTCAATGTATTGCACATTCTTCTATCCTTG